TAAAATAAGATCTTTCAAAAAATTAATTGAAGATTAAAAATAGATGTCACATTAAAGCAAGCTGATTTAAAAAAAGGGTTTTAAGAGGTGATTTAAATGAAGATACTAATCCAGCAAGTCAAAGTCATGTCACTTAATTCAAACTGATTTAAAATATAAAACGAAAATAAGTGAAAATGATTGATTTCATAGGTATTCGCTCCATTTAAAGAGACAGGTATTTTTTAAATAACTAACATTATTTTGTAGAAATTTGCTCCTATTTTCACATGAAAGAGCCATTTAAGAAAAAAAAATTAAAAAACTTGTCAAAACAAATTGACCACATTGAAAAGCAAAGAAAGACAAAACTTCCAACATTTTTATTAATCGCTGTATATTAGCTGCAGCACAGGAACAGCAGACAGCGCTGCACTGGGAGGGAGAAGAAGAAGAAGAAGAAAGGAACAGAAAGCTCATCGCTGAGACCAAAGGGAGGCTCCAAACCGTCCTGACCTTTGGCGATCTTGATGTCCAGCGCCGTGCGAATCAGAGCCATGAGGGTGGAGTTGAAGTGGACCGTGTTGTCGTCGGCCACGGGCAGATCCATGCGCAGCAGTCTCTGTGGACGAGCCAATCAGGGTGAGCGGTGAGAAAACTTGGGGGCAAGATGGGGTTTGTGGAACCTCCAGGTGACAACAGGGAGGAGCACTGAGTTGGTGGCGGGAAGGGGAGCGGGGAGAAGGGAGGCTTGGAGGTGGAAGGAGCTGTGCATTGCGTCTGCCTGACCGGGGTCAAATTGTTCACTCTTGACTTGTGCAAGGACGAATTCATCGTAGATTTTTGTGACATAATCAAACCTGTGAGTACCAAACTGATCAGTGAAGACTTTTAAGATTTGTCCTGATATTCAAAAGACCTCACAGGTTGGTTTAACCTGCGTTCTTGAGTTTCAAATTCAAAAACAGGATTGACAGGCTGAGCAGCAGCTACTATTGTCCAGAGCTCCCCCTAGAGGTTTGGAGGTTCAGAGTAAACCCAACAGAGACCAGCCGATAAGCCAATAAACCAAAAACAAACTGGGTTTATTGGTTTGAGCTTTCATCGGTCTTGTTGGTTAGCAATAGAAACCGACAACACGAGGACACACACCAACTCCCAGAGTGACGTTCATGCGCGTTTGGTGGCAGAAGAACTCGGCGACAACCCAGACATGCAGCGTGTCATGCTTCCCCCCTCCACATTCTGATTAAACGCCTCTCCTTTAATCCATCTTCCACATCCCACCCCCATGCGGCATGCAATGCACACACAATATGCCTCACAGGACAAGCAGCTTCGCAGCTGTACACAGAAAGCGTCCTCTGTTGGTGACATTAAAATGAGTTTGAGAGTTATTTTAATGTGGCTGCTATCGAGGGCAATTTGTAGACGATGGGGCTGTGCTGAAAGCCGGTAGCTCTACCGCTGGTTGTCTGATGTCTAATGTGTGAAAAATGGATACAGACTTGGAGGGTTAATAGGTGAGAGAGAGCAGCACTCTGTGGAAAAGTGGAAAGAGGAAGAAACAAAAAAAACAAACAAAAAAAAGCCCACCATGGAAGCGCTGTTCTGGTGCTAAGATGCGTAATGATTTTTCAGGTGAACATAATCCAGGTGTATGAAGGAAACATGGGGTGAAAAGACATATTTCTTCTGCCAGGAAAAAAAGAAAAAGATAGAATAAGAACTGAAAAGAAAAGCTTAAGGGAAAGACATGACAGAAAGAGAAATCAATAGGTTATGAGCTGGAGCATGTAAAGAGAAAAACGAACCAAAAATATAAAAAAAACCCCCAAAACTATGCAAAGAAAAAATAGAAAAAGAAACATCACCATACTTAGTTGTGTGTAAAAAAGAAAGCGGTCCTGCCTGAAGGCTCTGCTGTCTCTCTTCAGAAGATTGGAGATTAAAAGCAGTGGAGCTAAAGGGGCTCATTGTTCTGTGGAGCGGTTGGAAGGTCAAAGGAGGGCTTCGGGTTTCTCTCAATGGCAAAGTAAGAAAAAAGAAAAGAAACGGTGACTTTTCTGGAAAACCGTTCCAATGATAATCATCGGGGGATAGATTAAGATGTTAAACCATGCATGAGAAGCATGTTAGGTTTGTTTTAGTACTTTCAGGAAGGAGGCTTTAAAAAATAGTGTGAGGATGAAAGTAAACGGGTGAGTGGTGCAAGGATGGACAGTGGAGGGGTTAAAATAAAGGCCGAGAAAGAGAAAGAGAGGAACACCTGGGTCAGATAGCACATGTAAGTACCACTGAGGTAGCAATAGCTGGGTATCTGGTGTAATCAGGGGACCACAGACGGGGATTTCGATGTTATAAATTGCTCTCGTGGTGACGTCTCATCCAAATAGTGTCACATGTCTGTACTATTTGCCCCAGGTTTAATAGAGAAGGAGGGGAGTTGGATAAAGCGATGGTTAGCGATGTCGTGATCTCCTGTGCCTACAGGCTGTTTGGCCGGCTGCCCCCCCCTCAAAAGGCTCACAGTGATCTGCCAATGACTTTTCAATCTGATCACAGGAGGAGTTTACAGGAACATGTGGCAAATGTGTCGCTGTTATCCTGCATATTTCTATCCTAATGACAACTTGTGTGTCAGACTCCTTGTGTCTGTGCTGTAGACGACAGACGGGGGCGTTCGCAGGAGGAGGTGGTGGTTATCGGCCATGCAGAAGGCAGGTGAGGGAGTGTGCATGTGTGGGGAAGGGAGCAATATGCAGAGATGAAGTGGTGGTGGTGGAGGGTGGAGGGTGGAGGGGGGGGCTGGAAACAGAATAGAACTGCATTGACGACAGAACCAAAGGACAAAGAGAAGATTGGACTTGCAGATAGAAAAGGCTGCTTGGGGGCTTGGAGCTGCTACATGAAGGGTGACAGAGAAAAGAACGGCTTCTGTATGGCAACCAAAGGCTCTCTGAGGAAAACACATCACTGACACAAGCCCTTCTGCTCTCTCTACCATGAGAAGTAACAGAAAATATCCATGTGTAGGTTGATATGACCTGAATTCTGTGTGCGTTTCGGTGCATGTGTGTGTGCGTGTGTGTGTGTGTGTGTTTTCTGCTTCATCCACAGGATGGAACGAGTCGGAGGACATAAGTCTGGCAGACCTTCCAAGCCCTGCTGCACACGCATGCTTCTGTGGGAGCGGGTGTGTGTTTAGCGGTGTCTACATGTGTGGAATTTAACGCTTACAGATGTTTGGATAGTTAATCTGTACGACCATCATTGGCAGAATATATACTGACGGTGACGTCCGTGCATGTCTGTGTGAGCGAGCCGGTGTTTCTACGGTGCAAACGAGCTGAGAAGGTCCCTCGTTCTCGTCCCCTCCTGCGGATACCGACCGACCCTCCAACCTAACCGCCTGGCTAGCTCCGCCCACCGATCCCACACCACACAACGCCACAACACCGACCAGCCCACCCCCACGTTTCCACGAAAAGAAACAGAAATAGAACCAAGGGAACAAGGACACTAAAGTTTACACCACGTTGAGCGCTTAAATCCCTGCTCCCTCCCCTCCTAGAGCACCCAAGAAGAATAACCCACGACACCCGCAGAGGACTCGGGTGACGGTGGGGGCCTTTCTGACCTTGTAGGCCACCCGTGCCGGACACCTCTTCCCGAGGCCTAGTGGAGGACACATGTGCCTCAGCATGTCATACATTTCCCTGCAACTGATCCTGCCACTGCATCATCATCATCATCAGCCAGTGCCACCAACCCCGTTAACAAAAAAAAGCACAAGAAAAGAGAGAGAGATGCAGATATATTGAGAAGGGAGAAAAGAGAGTGGCAAAAAGAGATGGAAGAGACAATCGATTAGAGAGAGAGGAGGTCACATAGAGAGAAAGAAAAATGACCAGAAAAAAAAGTAAAACAACAGAAAGACAAGGTTATCGGGCTGATTTGGAGAGATTTTGGCCTTTCTTTTTTTTCTTTCCAACAGTTTGTCATGTTTGTGAAGAGAGGGAGGAAGGGAGACAACAGGAGGGAAGCTACCGATTGGAATTTAATATTCTCAGAAGATAAAGCTTTTACACAACATGTGTGTGTGTGTGTGTGCTTGCACAGGAGAGCAGGGTGGAGCTTGACAGCAGGCACCAAGCTGCTCCTGCTCGGACGAGAGAGAGGGGAGGAAGAGGAAGGGGTGTCAATGCAGTTTCTGTCTTTTTCCCCAACCCCCAAAAAACCGAGAACAATGCAACACTACAGTGGGAAACCGTAGCCTGCTACATCATAGCCATGGCTCCACAGCAAGCAAAAGGAAAGGATATTTATAAGAAAATAAAAAAATAAAAATATATTACAACAAAACATCTTAATGTGGATTTTTTTTTTTTTTTTTCCCTCCCCCATTTCAGTTGGTGCATTTCACATGCTTCTCTGGGTGTCTGCATTGTCCCGCACATTCTCTCAGCAGTTCAGAATGCAAGTCAATAATGGTGGAAAAGAAGTCGTAAAGTTGAAATGAAAAAAAAAACAAAAAAACAAAAAAAAACAAAGCGGCATTCACTCCATTCCTGGATGCTGTGGCTAGCAAGTGTGGTTGAGAGGTTTCGTTTGAATGGAAGTCAAACCTTGCAGGCCACCCTATGGGGGCATTTCTTGCCTAAGCCGAGAGGCGGGTCGATAACTCGTAATAAACTGTACATGTCCTTATAATGTATGCGCCCGCTGCAAGAAGAATACAGGGGAGTTAACAAACACACACATACGCACAGGGAGGGGGAAAAAAACACACTCACGCACAGTCAGAAAGAAGAGAAAACATCGGGAGGAAGAGCACAAGATTGACAAGAACACAGTATCTGAAAATACTTTACAATATGTAAAAAAAAACAAAAAAAAAACGGACTCATTTCTTCACTTGAACGCACCTTCGCAAACTCTACATGCACGCACACAAATAATAAACACATCACTTCGCTGCGTGGCACATTCTATTAAAGGCGCTCTTTAGGAACTGCCAGATTCTTTTATTCTGTCGTCTTCCTCGCTTCCTCAACCCCCTTTTTTCCTGCCGCTTTTTCTTCCCCTTAACTAGATGTGTGCACAATATAATTGAAGGACCAGTAAAACATGTGCTTGGTAAATGGTTTACTGCTTAATAGCTACTTGTGGTGTGCCGATGCCCTCCCACTAAGTATGTGTTCGGTGTCAGCCTCTCTGGTTGTTCCCGCTGCAGCATCTCGAAAAAAAAATAGTCAGTTTGGAGAAATGTGCACCGAGATAAACTGTTTTACACATTTCTAAAAACGCTGCTACTGAAGCTCAACTTTCTCAATAATCCTTCCTCTCTTCTCCTCTTCTTTTATGTCCCACTTTTCTACGGCAGTCTACAGGACAGCGAGAGGGCAACACACAGGCACTGGAATACAAGGTACCGTGAAACTTAGCATGTCTACAGCAGACACTTAAGACTACATGGGGGTGGGAGGGACGTTTTCCGAGTGTAGACGGTGCCACGTTAAGTTTTTTGGCAGTATTCCAGAAGAGGGGAGAAGGTTTTGGGAGAGGGGGGGGAAGGCTATCTGAGGACAGTTTACAGAAAAGGGAGGATGAAGGGGAGGAAGAGGAGGAGGAGGAGGAGGAGGATGGGGTTGTACGGTGCGACAGAGATAACCGGATGCGGTTATGCTCAGATCCGTCACAGCCCCCTTGCAGCTGTTTGGCTAAAACGTTACCTTGTTTTGACTAGCTCTGTTCATTTCTGCACTTCAAAATATCTGATGACGTGTTACCAAAAAAAACAACAAACTCACACAAAAAAATAAAAAAATGTAGGAAAAAATTGTCATTGATTTTTGGGCTTTTCTCTTTATGTTAGCAACGTTAATAAAAACAACCACAAAAAAACATACTGAAGGTGAGGTTGTAAGTATTTCTACGCATTTAAATTTCACTTATGTGTGTTGCTTCTCTTTCTGTATGTGTCTGTGTGCACCTGAGTGTGTGCACGTTACCACTCACCAAGCAGCAGGATCATACTCGGCCCATATCCTGACATACTCATCCAAATGGTGAGGTCCCAGAATGGATGAATCCCTGGTCAGGTACTCAAAGTTGTCCATGATGACGGCGACAAACAGATTCAGCATCTACACATTAAAAAAAACAACAACAACCTATAATAAATATCTTATCGGACAAATCAAACATCAGCTTAGTGATTAAATTTGCTCGATTAATTGTTTAAATTCGAGACAACATGAAGAATCTTTTAGGGTGTTTGGAATAAGATGCTGGAAGAGGTCACACTGACATGAACGGTTAGTTTATTCGTTTGTTTTTTGCAGGGACGAATAAAAGTAGTAGCACCAGAGTTAGCAAGCAGCTAATGTGCATCTGCTGTAAGAACAACCACAGAGCAATAAGTAGAGTTCATAAAACAATGCAAAAGTAAAACAAAAAGTCTATCAGTGTGAGATAAAATGAATCTTTAATGTTCGTAGGGACTGCTTTAACTGAGACAGAGGGCTTCCTACGTCTTCTCAGACATATCTATAGACACACGCAGTGACATTTTCCATGTTTTGTGCATTTTTAAGCGACGCTGGATCAACACAACAGCGGCAGGTTTTGGAATGTGAAGCGTGTTCTTACCAAGAACGAACAGAAGAAGATGAAGGAGACAAAGTAGAGGTAGGCAACCTGGCTGCCGCACTCCGGCTCCGTGTTCCCTGACAGGGGGTCGCACTCTTTACCCCCCAGACACGCCAGCATGATCTCGTGCCACGCCTCTCCTGTTGCACTCCTGCAAACGCACAAAAAAATGTTTTCTGCTGTTTTTGTTCGGCTAGGCACAGACGTATGCATCTTGCAGACATTACAGGTTCACACACACACACATATATAAGCACCTAAAGAGAAGCATCAGAGCCTGTATGAAGGTCCTGAAGTTGTTGTGTTGGTTGATGGCACTCTCTCCGTCTTCTTCGATTGCAATATTCCCAAACAGCTGTCAAAACAAAGACCAGACCACAGTTGTTAACCGGTGACCTTTTGGGCCTTTCTCTGCCACCAGAATTTAATTAACACCCCGAAACTTTACGACACACATGCCGTCACTGTTTCCATAATCTTCCTCCTCCTCCTCCTCCTCCTCCCATCGTGCACCAAATCCTTATGACCATTATCATCATCCTCATTCTCCTCCTCCACCGTGTCCTCCTCATCATAATGATACCATAAAACATATTTAATGCATCCCAAAAGCGCTGTAGCAATTTTTAGACGGAGGCTCTCACCCACCTGCATCCCAATGATGGCGTAGATGAAAAACAGCATGGCAATGAGGAGGCAGACATAAGGCAGCGCCTGAGGAGAAACGCATTAATCGTTTGGTGTTAAGCTGCCGGAAAAGTGCACTGCGCAAGATAATAAAGGGCCGCACCTATGTATATGTATGTCCGCGTGTGAAGTCTATACATAATTGGAACACGCGTAATTGGAAGCAAACCTTGAAAGATTGAACGAAGGTCCAGAGCAAGATGCGAATGGTTTCTCCCTGCCTCAGTAGCTTGATGAGACGAGCTGCCCTGAACAGCCTTAGGAAACTTAGGTTGATGAAATTATTCTACAGTACAGCCACGACACAACCAGAGAGACGGAGAGAAGTTGTAGATAGGAAAGTGAAGAAAAAGGGAGGAGAGCGGGGGAGGGAGGATTCGGGGTTGGAATAAAAAAAGAAAGAAAGAGTAGTTAGTTGTACTGCAGCGTGGAGGAAAAAGAAGACAAAAAAAATAAAGGTTTCTCAGACAACCAAAAACATAAAAAGAAAAAATAAGGGGAAAACAGTCAAACTCAAATCAATGGAGATTCAAACTCAAACACAAACGAAAGAATCGGGAGCCAAACAAGTCAAAGCAAACCAAACTCAAATCAGCAAGGCTCCGACAAGCGTTTCATAACCAGTAAGTTAGTCAAAACCAAACAATACAACACAAGGGAAAGGAAATCATCCAGATCTAACTAGTTTCATCCAATTGGGACAGATTAGTAGTAATCGTGGTAGGAGTGGTGAGTAGTTAAGAAGTGCAGGGACCTCAGGACGTTTTCTTGGAAAGACAACCAAATGCACTAATTCTCTCAAGGCAAAAAAAATGCAATTAATTTATTTATTTTTTTAACAATGAAGCAAGCCCACAGCATGCAGATGTGAACTAAAGCAAGCAGCAAACCTAATGGCAGCTCATGCAAATCCAATAGGATCGAGTGCCCGAGTCACGTGACGTACTGTAGTCGTGTCACATAAGAACGGAGGGTGGTTCAAGGACTAACAAAGGTCGTAATATCTCAGGTGAATTTCATTGTTTTTTCCATGTTTTTCACTCTCATCGACTTGATTATGTCGCTTACGAGGTGGAATCTAAAACTGATCTTTGTGGCAATAATTTCAGTTTTTTTCCATTCTATTTTTTTTTTCTTATTTAAATTGGAAAAAAAAGCATACATATTATAAACCTGTGTGGGATCCTACGATATGTATTCGACTGTTTACCGCAGTAAAAGACTGCAGTTTCAAAGTGATAAAAGAAACTGGCAGCAGCACATGCAGGTTCCGTTTACAATACAGCGTGTATTATATTTCTGTCTGTGTGTGTGTGTGTGTGTATGTGTGCTGTGAAAATAAAGGGTCCCTGCCAAAGACATGCAAGAGGCAGCATGCATCACTTGTTCTCTCTGCCACGGGCAAAGCTTTGGACTCGCTGGAAACACTCTCCCAGTCACTGTCACATGTGTGGCCGGCTACGTGTATATATTGTATGCGATGAATGGCTAATCTCAGCGGATAGATGTGGCAATCTATTCCAGATTACAGAGTCCAATCCTTTACAAAGTGAGCAGTAAAGGATGCTATATATATATATACACACACACGTAGATTTGTGTATATATATATATATATATATATATGTTTGTACAGACACACAAACACAGTGACTGGCAGAGAGGCAACAAGTAAGAAGTTGGCCTTCGCTCAGAGTCGAGGCTTCTGAGTTGTCAAGCACGACATGCACATTTCACAACATTGGCTGGCGTGCACGTAAAACGGATGCAGTAAAACAAGATCTCCAAAAAATTACAAACCATCTACATGTGGATGTTGCAGACATATGGTTTATAGCAGCAAATTTTTGGATTTTTTTTTTTTTGGTTGGTTCGAAGAACAACCAGACAGATTGACCAAGCCAGTTGTCATGGGTGGACACAGAGGATTCATAGTGCATTTTGATTGGATGGAATCACGGCAAGAAGTAGTAGTAGTAGTAGTAGTAGAAGTAGTGGTAGTAGTAGTAGGTGTTGTGGGGAGAAGGGGGGATGGGGCGAAGTAGATTACAGTAGATCGTCGTTAAGTTTGTGGACGATTTAAAGAAAGCATGTAAAAAGATAAAAACAAGAAAGAAATCAAGAGTCATTAAAGTGACAAATTAGCACGGCAGCAGGTGTCTGTCTGCACATTACGTACAAACACACGGCGCCGATACCAAGAATCAAGACAGCAGAGGATCGGTGGATTCTCAACTAATAAGAAGCACTTAATCATAGAACTATTTTCTAAAACTTGACAATGAATTTAAGCCACGTGAGAGCTTCAGTCGCTCGGATTTCTCGCTGTTTTCGATGGAATAGGTCTTGAATCTTGGTACAGCAAATACACAAATGCACAAATCTGACTGTTCTGGGTATGACCTTTTGAATCGCTTTGAATCAAAGCTATCCAATAAGTTCAAACACATCTTGGATACAGTTTAGGCATTTTATTCCTACCAGGTCTATCTGTAATTCTGCATGAATCCTCAGGTAACAAGAGGTTTAAGGTATGTTCAGACAGAGCACAGTTTATTCTTACAGCTCAGTTGCCCCCAAACAGCCAATTTACAAATGATTGCTTTACACTCTCATCTTTGTACATTTATGATATTTATGCATTCCCAGAACAAATGTGGTGTTTTGCTCCAGTTGGAATATCTTCAGCTGTGTTTGCACCAGACTGGGAAAATTCAGATTTAGTCACATCTGAAACTTACATGTTCTGTCTGAGCACAACTTCACAGTGATTTCTTATGAACCCTCTGAACCCCAAGACCCGTCGAAAAGCACGTCATCTTTGAAAAATCATCAAAATCGCTTTAGTCAACAGATTCTGTGAAAAAAATCTCTGACTGAGCTGCGAGCACCGTGACAAAGATTCGGGGACTTTTCGGCTGAACTGCAGGCTGTGTGAGTAAAACTTGTACGTTATGTAGAGTCACCATGTTTCCCAGTAAAAGCAACACATGTGGACCCTTTTTTTTTTTTTGCTGTTTCAAAAAAATGAGTCCACAGTGAATAAAAAATGTGCCAGGAGCAAAAAAACAACTAAACAAATGCCCAGAATCTGCTCAGAGTTCAGAGGGTTTGAATCATGTTTTAACAATGACACTATCCTCCATTATATGCAACACAAAGAGACATGAACGATGCCCTCACACTAGTAGACCTGCACACACATCAGCAGTTTCATGGCCATATGTTACCTCATTCTGGTTTTTCATTTTGCCCTGCATACATCTTTCAGGTGATTGCCGGACAGAAAATGTCACTAAAACTTTAAATGAATGGGTCATTTGTGGAGCAAAAATGAATCGAAATCTGATTGATCTCTAACTATGATGCTAGAATGAACCCATAAATGTCCTTTTTCAGGCATTTGTTGTTGTTTTTTAATTGTTTGTGTACAGTCAGATCTTCATATGACCTTCAAGCCTTCAGCTGTGGTCGCTCACACATGTGCGATGCTGCTGAAGAGCCTCTACCGGCCACCTGAGCTGCAACCCGATAATATGATTGACTACTAGGCTGCTCGGACAAGCCGTGAACCGACTCACCGCAGAGCATCAGCATGCTTCCTGCCTTCCTGTCAGTGGCTCAGTGCTGGCTAGCTGGATCCCCATCCCACCAACTGGGACAATTATATAAGACTTTCAAGAGATGCTCATGCATGACTGAGCAAAGCTCGACTCAACAGTGGCCTCTAACTCATGCTCTCCCTTCGCTGCTCGTCTTGCCCGCTGTATGTTTTTTAGACAGCGTGGCAGACGCGGGAATCCACAGACACATGCCGGAGCTCACCTAACAAATACCTCAGCTCAACTAAACATCGCTAATTCAACATCAAGTCCGTCTGTGTACAGTTTCGACTGTCAAACATGCACAACGACACATAAAATCCTGCTACTTACCCCAAGCTCAGTAACCAGGATGTCAGTGATGCTGCCCAGAACTGTCACACAGTCAAAAATATTCCAGGCATCTTTGAAATAATTCTGTGATCAGGACAAGAGAAAGAGAGAGACAGGACAGGGACAGAGAAGAAGCAGAAAAAAAGGGAACGTATGAGGTGACAGAGGAACATGGATGTGGCAGGGAAGAGATAAATATGAACATAGAAACGGGGCGACGTCAGGAGACGGAGACCACGTTGAAAGGAAAATGTCAAAATCGAAACGCATAAAAAGAGGTTAAAAGAGATTGAAAGGTAAGGAATTAAAAAAAAAAAAAAAAAAGACAGAGAATGTGCGTCAGACAAGACAGAGAAGGAGAAGAAGAAAGTGGGAAAAAAAAAGAGAGAGACATGTCAGTGTCGGACGGGAACAGGAAAGAAATTAGATGAGACAAATGGACCATCAGTGACGGCATGCTGGATGGATGCCAGCAGACAGGCTCGGGACAAATTGTACCGCATCAGAAGACTACAGCAGCTATCAAACATCACGTACTGTATATTACTGTATAGCACCGACCAACACAATGTCACGGCTTCAGTTTGAACAACTTGCACAAACCAGTAACACGGCTCTGTCCCATATCTAATTACCCCCCACACACACATACATGGAATTACATAGTAGAACACAGCTTAGCAAATAGAAGATGGTGGGCTCTTCCTCTTTTGCTTTCCTACATATTGCCTGTAGCCAAACTGTGCATTAGATCGGCGAAGGGACGTGGAGAGAGCAAGGGAGGCGGCTATTAAAATAAACCACCTTGACGCACACATCTCTTCTGTTTGTGACATGCACGCTGAGTTTGTCCAAGCAAGCTCTCCAAGATTCAAATCCGCTCGTCCTTAATCACCACCCGCTCCGTAATCTCCGCTTCTCTTTCTTACCGCCTATATGTCATTCACTCTCATTCTTCTAATTACTGTATTACCCTTATCTCCTCCCAGCATTCATCCCTAAACCATCTCCTATATCCATTTTTTTTTTCTCCTTCCTCGTCCACCTCCTCTGCAGCTCTAATGACTGCACATTTTACTGCTGATTTCTGGCAGTTTTCTTTGCTTTTTTTTTTGGTTTTGTTTTACCTGAAAGCAGCTCATTAGTTCCCCCCTCCCCCCCTCAAGTTTCTCATTAAATATGTAAACCATAACGCACGACAGGCAAAGTGTGACAATGTGACGAGGCTGCAGCAAAGACCTTCATGACGTGAAACAGAGCAGCGTTTGCTGAATCCACTTTGCGTCTTTCAGCACATTATTTTGGTCATGAGTCATGCAGGCGTATTCAGTCTTCCTGTACTTCTTCTCAAGACTATTGCAATTATGCAGAAACGGCTTTCCGAAGATATAAGACAAGGCAGAGTGGAGCGCATCTACAAAGAACTTTAGGTGAGTAATTGTCTTTTTTTAATCCTAATAAAACGTTTCCGGAGTGTTTGTTTGCATTTGAATGGATTTCTGCAGTGTCACTGTTGTGTACCGGACTATAAGCCGCTACTTCTTTTTCACACACTTTGAACACTGCGGCTTAAACAATGACGCGGCTAATTTATAGATTTTTACGATTTTTGCAAATTTGCCTCGAGACCAAAGTGACATTGAGAGCGACAACGACAGAGAGAGACTGAGGAAGTGATTCTGAGGCTGTTCAACTCCTGAAGACACTGAAGAAGACGACTTTAGTGGTTTTAGTGCAGGAGGAAGATGAAGATAGCGATCAATGACTTTTCCTGGTAGGCTGCTGTAGTTTTTATTTTCTTAACCAGCCGTGTTACAGGAACTGTTTGGAAAAAAAGCATCTACGTATTTGTTTATGTTACCGGTTTGCATTTAATTAAAAGTTTAAAACATCTTTCTGTGCAAATATCTCGTGTTACAACGTGGACACCTGCAGCTTAGAGACGAGTGCGGCCTGTATATGTACAGAACTGGTTTTCTTTTAAAAGCTAGTGGGTGCGGCTTATATTCAGGTGCGCTTAATAGTCTAAAAATTACGGTACTTCCTGGCGATCCTTATTAATCTAATACCGTGTCATAATAATTTATAGAAACTATCTCCGTGATTCTGCATCCTCAACACACACATGCACTCACCAGAGCTCCAAATGCGATGATCTTGAGTACACACTCCATGGAGAAGAGGGAGGTAAACACTATGTTCAGGTTGGCTAACACGTCTTCATAGGTATTAGAAGCTCCGTCATACTGCAAACGAGACACACGCAGCAAATAACGCAGGTAACATGAGTTCATGTGAGCACACATGCAGACACACACAGAAAAAAGACGTGTAAAGACACATAAAGAGATTCAGCTCATCCAGTTGAGCGTCGTCCAAACAGCAAACACTCAGATGTCAACTTCAGCAACTTGGTGCTCACTAGTACATGTTGTTTCTGTCAGTGTTGGTATCTTACCTTCATCATCAGCACAACTGTGTTGAGTGCGATCATCGCCATGATAGTGTACTCAAACGGCGGCGACACCACAAACTCCCACATTCGATACTGAAAGCTCAGCTTGTTCTGAGGCATGTGACGCGTCAGAGGCCTTGCGTTGATGGCAAAGTCTATACAGGCTCTCTGTCAAAAAAAAACATAAAATAACATGTTTCTTTCCTCTCATCATGCCTCCTCCCAGTGCATTCACTTCCCCTTCCTTAATCCGTCCTCACCTCGTTCTTTTCTAAACTGTAATCTTCCATCATCTTGTCCCCTTGTTCCTGGAAGGTGATGATAATAAGAGCTACGAAGATGTTGACGAAGAAGAAGGGGAAGACCACGAAGTACACCACGTAAAAGATGGACATTTCCATCCGGTACCCTGGGCTCGGGCCCTGATTCTCATAGGTCGCATCCACTGAATGTTTCAGCACCCTGCGGGGACACGTTTAGGGTTAGAGGCTTGTCGGGAAGCGCGTGGTTTTTAAAAAAAAATGTACCCGCACATGTTCATGCAAACTCACTGCGGCCACCCCTCTCCGGTAGACACAGTGAAGAGGGTGAGAAGGGCCCAAGCCACATTGTCGTAGTGGAAATCGTACTTCTTCCACTCCCGCTTCTGCGCCTTCACTTCGTTTTCGCGTTCATACACCAAATATTCGCCTCTGAAATATACAAAACCACGTCATCAGCACAATGAAAGCGAAAGGGTTGAGGGGGGGGTTTGGTCTCACATTTGTGCGTAAAGCATCTCCTGACCTGCAGTCACGCTCAAACTCTTTGGACTCATCGGTACAGTAAAAGAATCGGCCCTTGAAGAGCTGCACCGCCACCACAGCAAAGATGAACATGAAGAGTAAGTAGACGATCAGGATGTTGAGCACATTCTTCAGAGAGTTCACCACGCAGTCAAACACAGCCTGAGGAGAGAGGAAGGCAACGGCACAGGGAGAGCTTTTGGTTACCGTGTGGAGAAAAAAAAAAACAAAAGACATTGGATTGAAATCGATGTTTGAATGTGTGTATTCTGGTCTGAAGTTTGGGCACCGCAGGAAACGTTTGCGTCAACACACCTTGAGTTTGGGAAGACGTTTGATAGTCTTCAGAGGTCGCAACACTCTCAGTACCCTCAGAGACTTGATGGTGCTGATGTCTTTTCCTTTACTGCTCCCCCTACATGCACGCACACCGCAACGCAGACACACACACAGAAGAGCGCACACACACACAGATTAGAGGAGTCAGCCGGCTCAGACGTAACACGACGGCTTCGGTCCTCTCGATTCCAAAATGGCAAAGTGGGCGGCCATTTCTTGATGTGCGTCCGAGTTAACTCAAAAAGAGTAACTGCGTGTGGGTTAAATACATAGCAACACATGCAGCGTTGCTATCATATTACGCCTTAGCCTCTTGCCTAAGTGTGAGGTTAGCATTTGAGCTACATGCTAGAGTTAGGTGGTATTTTACGACTACGGTACATGCTATGGGGACGACTGATATCATTCCTGTCTGAATGCTATCCGGGAGCTACACTCGTTTATTACTTTGCAACGTATTTCAATGCTTTACAAGGATGGCTTAAGCCTCGGCTTGCACATGCCCAGCTAATGGTGAAGTATAATCATGCTGCATTGAAACCTTGCTTTCCATGCTGCAATATTTCTACTTTGAAGCAGCAGGTTGAGTGACGGACAACTCTATTCTATATAGAGACATTTGCAGAGAGAGTTTAGTCGTAGTCGTAAAGCGAAGCAAAGTAAACTCCTGCTCCACATTATCAAAAGTTTAAGAAAAGGTAAAACAACTCCACAATCTTCAAACATTTTGGTGGCGTCAATGTGTTCCAACAGCGGTTAAAAACTTAAAACGAAGCGCCAAACTCTCTCTTTTGATGACTCGACCGGTTCGTTTCTATAAGACTACAACCTGGATCAGCTGGTTTCACAGCATTGTTCAAACAGCATGGAAGCTTGTCTTGTGGGGCTTTTTGGCCAAGACAAGGACACTTTAGCGAGCATTTCTTTGATGAAATGCGAAGCCAAACCTCTTTCTTTTGTAGCACTTTGGCAATTTCTAGGTTCATGTGTGAGGGGAGAAGTCAAAAAGAAGTTGCATTTACAACTAAACTGCCTAAAGAGAGTGTAAAGATTTAACTGAGCCTAAAAAAAAAGGGGCCACTCTCAGCACCATAGAAAACTTCACTGCTCTAAATACCTTTTTTAAATTAAATCCTCCCAGTGTAAAGATCATGGTGAAGAAATTAAGTTCAAAGGTCATTAAAGTGGTCCTGAGGGGGGACAGCATCTGTGTGCACAGCTGCATGTGTCATCCAGCTGTTGGGCCAGATGGCAGACTGCTGCTGGTTTTGTGAGTATGTGTGACTTTGTGTGTGCACTCACAAATATGCTTTTTTTATTGGCGACATCTTCACCAGTGATTGTTTGAGAATAACTTTCCTAATGGAGCCTTTTTCTGATGTAGTTTCTATCCTTCATCATATTTTCTGTGATAAACCTGCAAGTCTAATTTCCCAGATGCAGGTTAATGCGAGGTTTAAGTTGAGTCAGAGCTGTTCCATGGTGAACAATGGATAAAAAAGGGGGACGAACAGACGAGTACACGTTTCAGCTGTGACGTAGGGATGGATGGAAATGAGAGAGAGCCAGTGTGGTCAGAGGAACAGACACCGAGAGTGCAAGAGAGGAGAGAAAAAAGGAGGAGGAACAAAGAAAGAGAACTTTACCCGCCGCCGCTGTTGGTGGTTCCAAACGAAGAAGAAGAGATGAGTAAAGGGTGAGAGACAGCGAGACAAAAAGGGAGAGAGGAGACACAAAAAAAACAAAAAAAAAACCAGACCCGGGGTGGGAGAAGGAAACAGAATGGGACACAGAGAAAGCAGGAGGGGGTTTTTGAGGGAAAAAAACATCCACATGAGAGACAGAGAGAGAGAAAAAAGAGAACACAAGGCCTGCTTTTTGTTAGATCAACCCTCTACAAATAACACATGCACCTCGACATGCACACTCACAGTTTAGACAAATCACAGCATCAAACTACTGCTGACAACAACACACTGGTTACAGATCTACATGTTGTTGGTACACCTTTAACTTTTGAGATTATCGCTACCTTTAAAGGGTAAACTGTGAGGTGGAACTGCACGAGTAAGTAACAAATCGCTGTGAGGGTTGATAGAAAGTCATTTTGCACACATGTTTGCCGGTATAACGGGCGTCCCAGAATGTCAAGGCATCCCTTTAAGCTAACCGAACTTGATTAGTCATCACCGCTGGACATGAATCTGCAAGCCCGACTGCAGAAATATGCACGGACAGCGGTAAAAGTGGTCCAAGACACGGCAGCCCTCAGACCAGACTAATTGGATTAAAGGAGCGATAAACATCTCCAATGAGACCACTGATCCTTTCTGGAGTACTGTTTGATTTCCACCAATTGAATTAAGCCCCTATCTCGATGTGTACGAGTCTGTTCTGACTGGTTCAGATCGCCGCCGTAGTTAAATCAGACTTCATTGCTTAAATTGGTTATTATTTGTTTTGCGATTAAATATTCCTTCTTTTTTTTTTAAATACTGAATGACTGCACATGCTTCCATTCATAATTCACATTTCTGTGGGAATTACTCGACAGAAGAAGTAGCGCAGACTTACAAAGTTGACCCACATGTAACACAGAGACGTTAGAGGACACAGAGATAAGGACAGATGCACACATATATACACACATATATATACAGAAACATGGACAGATTCAACTAAAATAAGGGGGAAGAGTGTTAGTGAAACACATATAAGGATGATTCAGAGAGAATGACTGGAGCAAAAGCCAGTCTTAAAAATGGAGCACCACCACGAGAACCCTGGAGCACCTGCCGTTTACTCAACTGGTCTAGAATCAGGAAAAATATCAACAATACCGAGGCGTAGCAGGGGTTTGGTTTGTGGAAATTCAGTGTACTCTTTGCGTAAATTTGACGGTAAAATGGTTTAAACGTTCTTCTCTTCTGAGGTGACGTTTTTCACTAAATCACCAAATCATCCGTCGATAATTAGCCTCCACCCAATGCAGCAGTGCAAAATAAACAAAATAAGAAATGTCCAACCACAAAGCACAACATTAGAAGAATTCTTCCAATTTAAAAAAAAAATAAATAAAAAAATAAAATCCTTGAATGCATTGATTCACAAGCTAATGATAGATATCAGGTTGTGCAGTGGCGGATTTTTTCCTTCAAGGTAATGGATACTGCTGCCCATAGACGTGTGTGTGGCTGGTAACCACAAATATCTGGTGTGGAGACTTCAACAGTCCACAGTTACTCTATTTCCTCTGGATCTTTCATTAGTGGGACCTTATCTTCTACATATTTAGTGAAAAAACTTGAGGCCAGAATGATGAAGTTTGGGGGATTTTGAACGATGAAGGCTTGGACAAAAAGCAAAGGGTAGAGAGATTTGTAATTATATACATGAGAGTATTTAGTTTAAGACTTCTTTGGCTATAATTAAGAAGTGTGGGCTTGAAAAATGACCAATCAACACCTCCAGAACCGTTATAGGAGCTCTGAAGGGACAGTTAGAGGATACCATGCTGGGGATAAATGCAAAGTGGTGGGGTTTGCTTTGGTTTAAGCTTTACGTTTACTGAAAGTTAGTAAATGGTAGGTCATCCCAAGTATAGTTTATCAAATGCATTCACTTATTTATGCCGTTTCAGACCATCTTCATTGAGGATTTGAAAGATTGTTACGGTTTTCAATTCACTTCTGTTGAAATTAGCAAATAAATTTGGATTAATTCATGTAAACTGATCATTCTAATAAGAAAAAAATCAAACAAGATCCAATACAACAGCCCTGCAATCGTCCTCTTTTGGTAAAGTTTATAAATGTCAAAGAGGTGTTGAAGTTGCATAATTTTAAAGCATGTAGTTGGTATTTGGCTGTGATATGTTGACATTTCTTTAGAAACTGGATTTATCGCAGGGCTACAGCATTGGAAACATTTGATACACATGCGTACAGGTGTTATACTGTCACTGGGGAATTAAATGAACGGGAAAAAAACCCCATCGTAGCCCACCGACACAAGAGAGGGCTCGGTGCCGTCCGACATGAATGGCAAAAGGAGAAAGCACGCGTCTCACTTCATAAAAGTTCTGAAGCCATGATAATTCACTGAAGCAAGACGGTTAACGTTTACTGTATTCAGTCCTCAATTCATAATTAATGCATTACCTCTCTGTCACGAGGCAACACAAACAACAAGTCTCTGGACTCCAACTATGTGAATCAGCCATCTGAATCTTGGGTAATTACAGAAAACAACAAAAAA